TGTATTAAAAACCCACAGTGAATATACTCAACAGTGCCAAATGGAGAGCTTTTCCCCTAACATCAGGAACAAGACAAGGATGTCCTCGCTCACCTCTTTTATTCAACACAGTACTGCAAGTCCTAGCCACAGCATTGTATCTAGGAATAAACTTATTCAAAGAGGTGAAAGACCTGTACTCTGAAAAAACACTGATGAAAGAAATTCAAGAGGACACAAAGAAATGGAAAGACACTCTGTGTTCATGGACTGGAAGAAGAAATATTGTTAAAATGTCTCTATTACCCAAAGCTATCTACAGATCTAATACAATCCCTATTAAAATACCAACAGCATCTTTCACAGACCTAGAACAATCCTCCCATTTGTATGGAATCAAAAAAGACCCCAAATAGCCAAAGCAATCTTGAAAAACAAAACTGGAGGAATCACAATTCCTGACTTCAAGTTATATTACAAAGTAGTAGTAATTAAAAGAGTATGGGGGTACCTGGCTGGCTCAATTGGTAGAGCATGTGACTCTTGATCTTGGGGTTATAAGTATAAGCCCCATGTTAGGTGTAGAAATTACTTAAGAAAAATAAAATTAAAAAAAATAAAACAGTATGGTAGCAGTATAAAAATACACATAGATCAATAAAATATAACAAACAAACAAAAAGAAATGTGCAATTACATGGTCAATTAATCTTGTCAAAGGAGGAATGAATATACAATGGGCAAAAGACAGTTTCTTCAATAAATGAGGTTAGGAAAATTGGACAGCCACATGCTGAAGAATGAAACTGGACCACTTTCTTTCACTATACTCAAAAATTAACTCAATTGTGAGACCTGAAACCATATAAATCCTTGACAGAATATAGGCAGTAATCCGACACTGGCCATAGCAACATTTTTGTACTTAACGTCTCCTGAGTTGAGGGACTACATCAAAATAAAAAGTTCTGCACAGTGAAGCAAACAATCAAAACTAAAAGTTAAGGGGCACCTGGGTGTCTCAGTCAGTTAACAGTCCACCTCTTGATTTGAGCTCAGGTCATAATCTTAGGGTCCTGGGATGGAGCCCCGAGTTGGACTCTGGGCTGGATGTAGAGCCTGCTTAATATTCTTTCCCTCCCTCCCTCTCCTTCTGCCCCTCCCCCTCCTAAATAAATGTCAACCTACAGAATGGAAGAAGATATGTGCAAAGGACATATCTGATAATGTCCAAAATATATAAAAAACAAAATTCAACACCCCGAAAACAAACAATCCAATTAAAAAATGCAAAGACATGAACACACATTTCTCCAAGGAAGACATACAGATATCCAAGAGACACATGAAAAGATGCTCACCATTACTCATCATCTGGGAAATGCAAATCAAAACCACAAGATACCACCTCACACCCATCAGAAAGGCTAAAATTAGTAACACCAGAAACATCAAGTATTGATAAGGATGTAGAGAAAAAGGAAATCTCATGCACTGTTGGTGGGAATGCAAACTGGGGCAGACACTGTGGAAAACAGAATGAAGGTTCCTCAAAAAAGTAAAAATAGAACTACACTATGATCCAGTAACCACACTACTGCTATTTACCTAAACAACACACACACACACACACTCATACTCACACTCATACCATGGAGTCAAAATTACTAAAACAGGACTTCCACTGATTTTCCAAGTGGCAAGAAAGCAACCCAACTCAACCACAAAAATCAGTTTCCTTAAGACAAACACAAAACAATCAATAAAACAGATTAACATAGTTTTCTTAAAGCAGTAATTCTTTTAGAAACTCTGGTCATAAATCAATAGTTACATAAGGGACTAGGACCCTTGACCTCAGTTCCTTGCTAGTATAATGGGGGCAAAAAAAAAGTTCTTTTCAGTGAATGAAGAACAGGTGCTTTAATATATACCATGTTGTTTGAGAAGACACTCCCTTGAGTTTACCTTAGAAGCTAAGGATCTCATCATTTCACACAGCAGTCTTGCTCTTAATTCCTCCATGGCCATGGAACTCCTTACTCAGCCATTGGCTGTGCTGAGTCAGAGAATAAGCCTCCAGCATTCTGACAGCAATCTAGGAGTTTAAAGGTTTCTTTTGAAGGTTTCAACCAGTTGGGTTTTGGGGTTTTTTTGTTTTGTTTTTTTTGTTTTTGTTTTTCAGCTGTCTACCCCACCTTCCGAAGTATCCTGTAGCTCTAATTCCTGAACCTTTCCAAGGGCCTGGGACTTCAACCAAAATGCTTCTTCGCAGCTGTTCCCACTTCCCTTAGGACCGTTAAGTCTGATTGATTACCATGCTGTTCTTCCAACATTTTGTCATCATCTTTTATCTACTCCAGCACCTCTTACATTCGTTTTCCCTTGTGTGGCTATACTATTTCTAGTCTCTTTGGGTGGGTAAATGCAAGACTGGAAATAATGCTATTTAAACATGTGTTTAACTCAAACCAAAACTAGCTACATTTCTTTACATTTCCCTAATCCCAATTTAAGAATTGTGGACCAATGGGGCGCCTGGGTGGCTCAGTCCTTAAGCGTCTGCCTTCGGTTCAGGTCATGATCTCAGGGTCCTGGGATCAAGCCCCGCATCGGGCTCCCTGCTCAGTGAGGAGCCTGCTTCTCCCTCTCCCACTCCCCGTTTGTGTTCCCTCTCTCGCTGTCTCTCTGTCAAATAAATAAAATCTTAAAAAAAAAAAATTGTGGACCAAACTTCAGAGGTAAAAGCTCTTGTACACTGTAGTTTTAAATTGGCTCAAAATTCCAGAAGACAGATCACACCATAAGGGTCATTTTTTCTTGATTATCCTTCTTAGTCAAGATTAAGAAGTAAAGATTACTCACAGCAACTTCTCTGTGAGATGGCAAAAGTTTGAGAAAGGAAAATCCTAACTTATGAGGGACAAAGGAGCTTTGAAATCAAATTCTACACTATCCATATTCACAGCTCCCAGAGGTCAAGGAGAGCGAACACTGTCCTAAAATAAACCAGATGACAGACTGTGGTGACACCCAATTACAGCTTTTCTGATTTGGGATACTGAGAGCTGTGCTCCCCCTTAGTAAATGGTAAGCATGCATAATTTCACCAAAGAGCAAAAGGTAAGAATTTTACAACACACTTTATGCTTCCATTTCCTTTCCTTATTTGAACCTGAATAATTCGGGGGGAGGGGGAAGAAATAACCTAGGCTTTTGAGCACCATGCTCTAGGAAGCCTATTAGCAGTCAAGAGAATGCCCTTCCTTTAGGAAATGGCTCAGAAGCACCCATACCTAAGCCCCTGTAATGCAAGGTTTCCAAGGATTTCCTGAAACACACCCCAAATATAAGCATCCTTTAAGTTATTCAGGCATTTTAACAGTGACAAAAATGAGCCCCAGAGTATTTCAAAATGGAGATTTAAGTAGTTACTATTAGAATTTTATCACTGCTGTTATCAAAAGAAAACACATATTCCCCCTTTTCCATAAACAAGGTCTTCCCAGAACATTCTTTTACTTTAAAAGATTTTTCCAGTAACCACCTATCTCAGGCTCCCTCAGAAGATGAAAGATGCTAATAATCCGAATTTCCTTCACAGGAAGGAAAATTAAATGTAAAAAACACTGTATTCTGCTACATCTGATAATTAAGCAGTTAGATTCTGCTGGCCAAAATCCATTGTTCCTGTAATACTACCTACATAATGAGGTATGTTGTCATAAGGTCTAGCATCCAATACTGTAAATGATGCATACCCAGATAAAAGGTAGACTACAGAATAGGGGAAGCACCTGGAACTGTTTCAGTGTTTGTCTGAGTTTCATATGGAACCACCAGCCTGATTACTTGAATCAAGGGTGATTAGGGCTCTTCATGCTTCCGTTTTCCAAATGCCAACATTTAGGAAGATAACCATACACAAAGCAACTTGGGCCCTTTGGCTTCTGTCGTGTGTGCAGCTTCGTGGGGCAGGGAGAAGATCTTTTCTGGATAATAGGCTACTGTCCTTTGATTAGTAGCAACTCATTAGCTTAGTCTTCATCAAAGTCACCTGCAAAGTCTATGCTAAAAGAGGTCATCTCTCTTGAGATACAAAGGGCTCATGTCAAGGTTTAACATCCTATCACAAGACCACCCTGGCTTCAAGACGTTTCAACACCTTCGCAACACGTCTAAGGACCTTTGCAACTTGCCCTATTTCTACCCCTCCAGCCTCACCCCACGCTCATACTACTGGCCCTCTAAAGCAAGATAAATAGCTCACCCCCTTTTCACCTCACTAAGGCTCCCCTAGTCCTCCCACCCCCATTCCCTCTCCATATCCCCTACAAGTCAGTGCATTTTGTAACAGGCTAAAGCACAAATTGGACTTAACTTCAGAATCTCGCCCCCTTAAATCCATATCCACGTTGAAAAGCTTGGATTAAATTCTGCCCCTCGGTACACTTTCAGCACCTCTTAATCAACACAGGGTCATAAGAGATACTTCGCTAGTGTTTATAAATGAATGGATAAAGCGAACCAAGGTTCGTATAGTCAGATGCACAAGTAAAACTCCAATTCACGCGTGCACGGAGAGTGCAAATAAGAGACTGAGAAAAAGAAGAGACTCCTGAAAAGGCTTGCTTGTCGTTAGGCCACACTGGGGCCACTGTTAAGGCTAAATGTCTCTTAGTCCCAACCCATGCTTTCCTTCCTTAGTCCAACTCCACGAGCCGAGCTCCCCCCCCCGGCCCCCGCCCGACGGCCTGGGCACAGAAAGGGCTCTGTGGGGCAGCCCCCGCTTGCATGCCGCTCTGCTAGAGGAGCAGAGCCGCCCATCTCTAACTGCAAGCGAGGACGGAGCCCGAGTCGGCGGCGGGGACTGAGCGGGTCGGCTCGGCCCCGCAGTCCGCCGAGAGAAGGCGCCAGCGCGAAAGCACCACCAGGGGCAGGTGTCGCGGGCTGCCCCAGGCGGGCCGGGAGGGAGCGGGAGGCCGGGCCGGGGACCCGGGGCGCGCCTGGCGCCGCATTACCTCTCCAAGGCCTGCAGGGTGTAGCTGATGAGCGGCCTCTCCAGGATGGGACAGAACTGCTTCGGGGTGGGGACGCCCATCCTCTCCCCGCTCCCCCCCGCCGGCAACACAGCAGCCACGGCGGGAGCGCGGCGCCGCGGCTGGGCCTCGGGCCCGGCCGGGCTCGGCGAAGAGGCCGCGGCCGCTTGCTCCGCGCCGCGCGAGTCGCCGGGACGAGGCCCCGGTGCGGCGGGCCTGGGCTCCATGGCGGCGGGCGGCGCGGCCGGCTGGCTCGCCCTGGGCCCAAGCGCCCCGCGGCTGCTCGGGGCCTCGGCTGGGGTAGCGGGGAAAGGAGGAAGGGCGGGTGAGGGCGGGCGGCGCGCACTGGAGCGGCGAGGGCCAGGCCGCGGCGTGTCCCCGGGGGACGCTCCAGCCGCCGAGCTGCTTCTCGCCGCGTCCTCGGCCTCTACACCGAGCCCGGCGCCCCCGGCAGGCCTGAGTTCCGCGCCTCCTGGCTGCGCCTGCGGGCCCCGCAGTCGCCTCGGGTGGAAGCGCCAGCCCTCCGTGCGTATCTACGGGTCCCGTTAAACCTAACAGCTGTGCGGAGGCTGTAGCGGTCGGGACGCCCTGCAGTCCCTCTCCCCTTAAAGACATTTGGATTCAAGTCACAGGATGGGACAGAGAAACGTGCACCTCGATTTCTACCTTTAAGCGCGTGAGGCTTACAGGTTCCACCTTCTGGTTCCACCTCAGAAAAGACAGATGGATGGGCAAATGTTACTATGAACCAGATAGATAAACAAAACTGCCGCGGATCTCAAATTTGTCTGCAAAAGGGAACTACCTGGGGAGGTCAGAAAGGGCTGACACCTGTGTCCCACCCTCAGCGATTGGGATTTAATTAGTCTGCTGTGTGGCCGGAGTTTTAGAATGTTTTTAAAGATCCCCAGCGCATTCTAATGAGCGGGCTCATTTTGGGCCCACAGAGTCAAAGCAATAGTACTAATAATTGCTGAACAAGCGACACACATTAGCTCATTTAATCTCCAGGAGAACCCAACCATTATTGGGGTTTTGTTTTGGTTTGGTTCGGTTTTTACAGAGAAAGAAGAAAGGTTGTAATAATAACTTGCGTAAATAATAAATAACTTGTGTAAAATTGCACAAATGCAGATCTGCCTTTAGGCCCTTGCACAGAAGTACAGCCCGAGTTGAAGAATTCCAGGCCTGGAGCATATATGCCCTTATTTAGTGCTGTCCTTGCTGGTCGTGTTTACCAGAAAAATGTAGTCCAGTACTTGGAATGTCAGAGCCCATTGTATTAGGTCCCTGGAATGTAAACTCCATGAGAGTAGGATCCTTACTTTTCCTTTTGGGTTTTGTGCCCAGCTCCTGAAATATGAAAGAAGTTTAATAAGTATGTATTGAATGAACCGATGGAGTCGGTTTATCATAATTAAAGTATATTTATTAATATTTGCTAATTTAATCTTCACCTATAAAGTTAATTTGAGATTGATTTAAAAAAAAGAGGAATCTTTTAGGCGCTGAAAATATTATCAGGTTATAATATTCCAACCCAGTATTTTTACCCATTTTTCCCAATTTAGATTAAAGATAACCAAACTAAAATGTTTCTTTTATTTATCAGTGACTGAACATGCTTTTAATACATTCAATACACTTATATTTTCAGTACACAAGTTTCAATATAGAAGTACTTTCAATACAAAAGTAACAAAAAGTACTTTTATTATAATTAGTGTTTAGCTCCATTATAATTGCAGTTTGTCATATCACTGACTCTTAGCTGAAAAATAAGCATCATAATACACTTGACTTGGTAGCGCCACCACACCTGTGTCTGGCCTGTACTAGACAATACCTGTTGACTGACTGGGTAAATGAATAAAGGAATCTATACAGAAGCAGAAATGCAAATCTATTAATATTAATCTTAGTTGCCCTTTTTAATCTAACAGTGGAGTTAAAGCTATTTTTCACTTTTTTTAAGATTTATTTAAGAGAGAGACAGAGAAAAAAAAAGAGAGAGAGGCAGAGAGAGAAATCACAGAGGGAGAGAGGGAGAAGCAAACTTCCTGCTGAGCAGGGAGCCTGATGTGGGGCTCTATCCCAGGACCCTGGGATTATGACCTGAGCCGAAGGCAGACACCTAACCAAATGAGACACCCAGGCATCCCTAGTTTTCATTTTCTTAATCTTCAGCAAAAAAAGCATAGTAATAAGTCTTATATTAATTGCTATGTATTATAAATAATTAAATCTTGACAAATTTTTGCAAGAATCGTGTTTTATTGATTTAGTTTTATTTTAGAGCAAATATATTAATTTGGTCTGTTCACTGAATCTTAGATCTTTTATACTGTATGTTAACAATATTTAACAGACTCATATTGAAAGTAAAGGACAGACTTCATTTGTCTATCACAGTATGAGAAGCAACATTTTCTCTGTATCTTTTTCTATAGATATAAATAATTAGTTCCTTATTATGCATACTTTGGGTAAAAAATATAGTTTCCATGTAGTTTTATAACAAGTTGTATCAGCCACATTATGAAATTATCTTCTCGGGCACCTGGGTGGCTCAGTTGGTTAAGCGACTGCCTTCGGCTCAGGTCATGATTCTGGAGTCCCGGGATCGAGTCTCACATCAGGCTCCCTGCTCAGCAGGGAGTCTGCTTCTCCCTCTGACCCACTCCCCTCTCATGCTCTCTCTCATTCTCTCTCTCGCAAATAAATAAAAAAATTTAAAAAAAAAATTATCTTCTCTGCAACAAGTAGCTAAAAGTGCCTACCTTGGAAAGTGAGATCCTCTGTGACCCATTGGTAATAACCACTCTGCAGTATCAATTGATAAGTTTAGAAAAAATAAACCCCAACTGTATCACAATGCAGAGCACACAAAGGGGAAAGTTCTTGGAGTGGTTTTTGGTCTGAGCTTCTGTGGTAGATAAAATAATGGTCTCCCAATGTTGCCCGTGTTCTAATCCCTGAAACCTGTGAATATTTTACCTGACCTTATAAAAGGAACATTGTAGCTGTGATTAAATTAAAGCCCTTCAGTTGGGGAGGGTAGCCTGGATGATCCAGGTGTGTCCAATAGAATCGCAAGTGTCCTTATAAGAGAGCGGTCGGAATCAGAGAAACAAGTGTCAGGATTGAATTGTAGGTCACAGTGATACAAAGCTATGAGTCAAGGATTCCAGGAGCTTCTAGAAGCTGCAGAGAGCAAGGAACCAAATTCTTCAACTAGAAATTCCAGAAAAACGTAGCCCTGCCCCCCCCATTTTGAGATTGCTCACATCTACAACACTTAGATAATAAACTTGTTTGTTTTAAGCCACTCTATTTGTGATTTGTTACAACAAACACAGGAAACTAATACAGTTTCATGCTCAGGAAAACTTTCAAACTTACAGGTTGACTGACTATAATCTCCAAATGGAGTTATACATAGTTAGAAATATAGTGATATGACTGAAGAAAGAAAACACTGTCCATTTGACTTTATGTCCCATAACTACACTCTCAGTGCACTATGATTTTTAAAATACACTTTATCCTGTGAATAATAAAACGCGTTTTATTGTACTGCGAATAGTCAAAGCATAGCTTTGTTAAGTGTATACCACAATTTTATAAACTCACTTTAACATGTCTTTATTTTTTTAATGCATATAGAAGTGGCCATCAGATGAAAGTGGCTCTCATCTTTATATCTGAAAGGCCTAAATAACGCCCCTTTGTTGTTTGTTTCTATGGCAGAGGACCCTGGAAGATTATCTTGGGGACCTTATTATTATTATTACTGAATTTTAGATTAGGTTGAGTTTATTTTTTTAGTGTTAATCTAAGTATAATTATCACTGCCAGTCATTCCCCTCCCCAACCACACTTAGTGTTTTAATAGCATTTCTAGAGGTTAGTTGGGGTGTTGCTCACAAATGCTAATGAACAGCTTAACGGTTTACCTTTTAACTCTGCTGAAATAGGGGCCAAACAGAATATATTATTGTTCTACCATGGGCCAGTCCCAGTATTACTGTCAGTCTATGAATCCTAATTCCTGTTTTGCCATTGTGTTTTATGTAAATGCTATAGTCTATTAACCTCTGACCTTTAACTCATTTTTATACATAAGAAAAATGATGCTCCACAATGAGATCTTTCTGTGGATAATTCAAACTAAACACCACATGACAACAAGGTTACCATCTTTCATTTTCTCAATATGTATTACAAAGTAAATTATCAACAGTCTCAACTGTCTACTTTGTTTTTCCTATTATAGCTAAAAAATGAAACAATGATAAATAGCCTTAGGACTGAATGATAAACTTGATATCATTAATATCATTAATGTTACCAAAGTTTAACTTGTCATAAGAATCATTTGAGGACAATTGTTAATATATATAGTATTTCTTATGTATTTTATATAATATCATTTACTTATTATATATTATATAATAATCTTAAAAAATGTATTATTGGCACCCTCTGACAGAAATTTTGATTCAGTCGATCTAGAGTAGGCCCAAAAATCTGCTTTTTTTAAATGCTTCCTTAGGTGATACTATGTAAGTGTTGACCAGACTTAAATAAACACCAGTTAAGGGGTGCCTCGCTCAGTTTGTTAAGCATCTGACTTTGGCTCAAGTCATGATCTTAGGATCCTGGGATGGAGCCCTGAGTGGAGCCCCAGGTCAGGCTCCCTGCTCAGCAAGGAGTCTGCTTGTCCCTCTCCCTCTGCCCCTCCCCCCTTGTGTGCATGCATGCTCTTTCAATAAATAAAATCTTTAAAAATAAATAAATAAATAAATAAAACACTGAATTAAAAAAATTACACCCAATTCACTTTATATTCAATGCATTTAATTTCAAGACCTAAAGCAAAGACATGTAATACATTAAATACGCCATATAAAACTTGCATAAGAAATCTATTAAAACAGTTATGTTTTATTTCCTTGTTAATTTATAAGGAGGAAAACACAAGGGAAAAATATTTAACTGCTAGGGGAAAAAATATTAAAGAAATGGAGAACTGAATTATCTCCCTAGTATTTCTACAGAACTGTCATTTAAAAACAAATCACTTCTGAGAGCCACCAAAGGCCATATCTTTGACCACAACTTAAACAGAATTGAAATTGTTGCCTGGAATTCTGCTTCTGGGCACAGAACTAAAGGGTACAATTCTATTGTTGGATGCCACATAACTCCAGAAACTAAAAGAGGGGAATGATCTCTGTGCATAAGGAATGTGGGAGGGATGATATCTTTGAAAAGTTTGTTTAGAAAATAAATGACTAGTCTAGTATTGGTGGTGACTATTTTTCATCATCTGTGGAAAGGAAGAATAATCAGAATGATCAAAGAAGAGCAAAAGCTAGAAAAGGAAGATTTGCTTTTGTGCAAGGGAAGATACTGATAGCAGCTATTCCTATACATTTTAACTGCAACTCATTACTAAAATAGTTTTTGTTTTGTTTTGTTTTAGGATTTTATTTATTTGTCAGAGA